TACCATCGGGATAATAATAAAAAAAAAGCGAAGGAGAAGAACTGATGCGAGTTGAAAACGGTAGCCGTACTAGCGGTTATTGTATTCAGTTCGGTCTGTGTGGACGGCCCGTGTCGTTTTCATTGCTGGTTGCTAGCTGGCTCTGCGCTGGATTTGGACAAGACAACTACCTGCGTTCACTGCGAGGAGGATATCTAATGTTCGATTATTACGCAATAACTAGTCGCCGATAAGGCGACCTCCATTTCGTTAATCTGTCGAGATGCCGGTTTTATTAACAATTTATACGGTTTCATTTAAATATTATTTTGTTTGGCGCTTTCGATGCCACGGTGACTTACACGAATGTACTTAAAATTTCAACCGCCGCATCAAAAAAATTTCTCCAACGACGTAAAGAAAAATTATATCCAGCTTAACAGAATTGCAATTCTTGTATTCATTAAAAAAACAATTTATCTCAATGCTAAATCAGAGTACTAAAACGATGCGAAACTGCGACGCATTTCATAAAACACATCCAAAAATGTAGAATATTCCAAACAAAACAAGAATACAAATCTTTATTGGAAAACTATTTTCGAGTATCAAAAGATGCAATGAGTCTCAATAAGAGCCGGCTAACGAACCGACTTGTTACAAATTGAAATATTTTCCCGGCTGTAAGGACATATTTAACTGGCGCGATTCCGTCTCTTTGTGCTCCGATTCCGTACCTTTAATTACCGAGAATTACTACTATTACGTTTCGAGAATAATTACAACTTAATAAGCATCAGAAAAGTGCCCGTCTTGAAGCGATGCCATTCTTCGACGAAACGCTACCCCCTTATCGATAAAATTGTCTGTAAAAATAAAGGTTGTTTAAAATGCCCCTTTGTGGATTAATTTGAATATGCCCGCATTCAACCGGTTTTTATTTAATTTTATTGCTATTTTAGCTACCCTGTCTCGGTGGTTTATAACACAAAGAAAATTTACTATAGGTAGTTTATATTTCAATTAATTGATTACATTATGGGACACAAAAATGTGCACATTAACAAATAAACTGTATATGAAAGTCACCATCAGATTAATTGTATAGTTGATTAAAGCTTGCCTTCTGCTGTTGGCTTGATGGTAAACCCAGAAAAGACAGCAGCAGTAATCTTCACCCGGAAATACAAACTCCAACCAACAAAGCCGTTACAGCTTTGGGGGGTGGAGATCCCTTACTCCAATACAGTCAAATATCTGGGAGTCCACCTAGATACAAAACTGAATTGGAACACCCACCTCGAAACAAAGAGGAAAAAATTCTACAGCACAATGTGGGCTTGTAGAAGAGCCATAGGAAAAACCTGGGGATTAAAACCTAGGGTAACTCTTTGGCTATACCAAACGGTATTAATACCAAGATTCCTGTATGCTGCAGTAGTCTGGTGGCCCAGGGTAGAATTGGTGGGGAATCGGAACCTGTTAAAAAGCCTGCAAGGTAACTACCTGCGGGCTGCGACAGGGGCCATGAGAACCACACCAATTGACGCGCTAGAAATAGCGCTCAATATTCCACCCCTGGACCTAAAAGTGACAAATGTCGCCCGGCAGACAGCATACAGAATGAAATGTCAAGGGGAGTGGAAGGAAAATGGAACTGGACATACCAGGATTCATGTCCTTCGAAACACACCTTTTACATTAAAACAAGACAGAACCTCTAAACAGGTTATGATTGAACACACCTATAGGGTAAAAATACCAACCAGAGAAGACTGGAAGGAACAAAAACCGTTGATGGAACATCAGGGCGAAAACTGGTACTCCGATGGCTCGGGGTGTGGGGACCGCCATGGATCGGGCATCTACGGGCAAAATACCAACTACAGGGAGAGCATATCCCTGGGTGAACATGCTTCGGTCTTCCAAGCCGAAGTATTTGCTATACTGAGATGTGCAGAGCATCTCATAAATAATGGAGCCACACATTCCCGAATAAATATTTATTCGGATAGCCGCGCTGCCCTAGAGGCACTGGCGAAAAACACCACGGTCTCCGCCGTGGTGCGGGACTGCATGCAGAACCTCGCCAGGTTAGGGGCTGAGAATGTAGTGACTCTAATTTGGATCCCTGGACATCAGGGAATAGAAGGCAATGAGGTAGCCGATAATCTAGCCAGAGAGGGGGCCATGGAGCAACCTGGTAGGCAGATAGTTGGAATGCCCTTTGCAGAAGGTAAACAATACCTAAACAAACTCCTAGAAAGGGAACATCTCGTTCGATGGAGGAACTCGACAGGCTGTAGGGTATCCAAACAGTTCATGGAAACACCCTCAAAAGAAAGGGCAACCGAGCTCTGGGCTATGGACCGTGACAGGCTGAGCAAAACGCTTGGACTACTCACAGGACACGTAGCACTCAGAGCGCACCTATACCGCCTCAAAATAGTAGAGCAGAAAACATGCCGTCTATGTGGGGAGGCTGATGAGGACAGCATACACATACTGTGTCACTGTCCAGCATTATCCTTGCGCAGGTATAATACCTGGGGAAGGACCTCATTAGATCCTAGCGATCTCAAAAACACAAGGGCATCCGAACTGCTGAGGTTTGCAAATACCTGCGACCTCTGGCAGAATCAATGACCTTGGGAAACAGCGGGAAACTACAGAGGATCATTAGATCTAGGTGGTCACGGGGCTGGAAAGACCGCCCGCATAAAAAAACAACAACAACAACAACAAAGCTTGCCTTTGTTTAAAATGTTGGGTGTTAAATTTGAAACAAACATTACGTAATTAAACAAAAAGCTTTGTATAACAAAAGGACGAGGAGATTATAAATAAATTTACAATAAAAAAAACTAATATTAATATATGTGCTACCCTTTCTCTTTAATTGATTATACCTTTGTTTCTTTTAGGACATAATGTCACGTATTTGTTTAGTGATAAATATGCGGTTTACGTTGCAACGCTAGGCTCTTTTTTAATTAGAATTTACTTAGTGATAACCGCTACTAGCGCTGTATTGTAGTCTTGCTCGTTTCTTTGTGCGAGTCCAGCGGTAAATATAAACATATTATACTTATTTTATACATGTAAATAACTTTCGACAAAAAAAATCGAAGCTTTAATGTCATTCGAGCTTTCATGCGTATAGGGGAGGTTAGGAGTTTATCACCCTGTGGAAATATTCCCACCCTTCTCGCCTATTTTGAAATTATAATAAGTTGTTATGCCGGCCAGGTAAAAAACATCCCTTTATACAAAATGGAATACTTACATCGGGTTTTGTTAATGTTTGCATAAATGTTTGACATAAAAAAATATAGTGTACTAAGACAACCTTCAAGGTGACCTATATTTGTTGTAAAAAAGCTGCATGGAGATCTTTTTTTGCGAATTGTGCGTTATTTAATCTTGTAATACCAGAAAATATTTTACACCGCCAGCAACTTGGCTGCGTTTTCGCAATGAATATTTGTTGTTAAAGGAAAAGCAACAGATAGCGGCCGATTCAGCACGAAAGAGTGCATCTGGAAAATTTATATTACATAATTATTTTACAGTGTTTAAACGTAAATATCATAATATTGATTCGGATTATTATCTTCCGTTGCATTGCAATATTTCTCTTGGTTTATTTGCACGAAAATTTTCGAATTTTGTCTAAAATTAGAGTCGCATAATGAAAAAAAAAATGATCTCTTTTTTTAGTGTGTCCTGATTACGATTGAATAGGGGTAAACAAATTTTTATTCTCATTATTTTTGTGTTTCAAGGCGAAAAGAATAAATTTGCTTTATAATTTGATTACGTCTATTCGTAAGGGCACTTTATATAGGGTGTTCTGGTTTCAAAAATTGTAAATATTAAAATTAGGAAGATTTGCTTTATTTCTGCCTTGTAGAAATTTACGGTAGTCTGTTCAAAGTTGAATGAATACCATAAAAAATATAACGTTAAAAATTTATATTCTAATATTGTATTAAGTATTGCCCAATGAATATATTTTTTGTGGGAATATTCATTATGATATTTGAACAAGTTTTTGTATGAATGAAAACGGAACGACCTGTATAATAAAATTATAGAAACCGACCCTGCTTCTGTGTGAAATGAAAAATTGTATAATGTTTAATTAACGTTGGTAATTCGCTATTTTTCGTAGTCTAATACTACGATAAACCAATCCCTACTATATTTCGGAAAATTCGTCCGGTTTTTCGGTCGATAGAGCGTTTTAGTTTTTAAGAAAAATAGATAGCGCGGAGAGAGAGCACACGAAGGTTTTTCGGGTATGGAAAGACGGAGCCCGACCGGTTTCGAGCCCGACGATTTAAAGTAATGCGAGGCGATCTGCCTCGTGGGAACAAAAGTAGTCGAATTCGTGGACAGGGGGGCGCGAGGCAGAATCCACAGCATGATGCTTGCCGGCCACTGCGCACACTCCATTTACTCTGATAGTTGGTCGTGCGAGTTGGGCCAGTTCCGAGTTCTACTACCCGGTAGTCTGAAGTGTGAGGCTGTGGGACGTCGTCGTCGCTGTGAGAGAAACCGAACAGATTCTAACAGAATATATATACATATATATAGTAGTATACAGAGAGTTCTAGAATATTAAAGGAAACTTAAATGAAAAATCGAAATGAGTGTGAACGAGGAGAGCGGAGACACCGAGACTGGTAAAAGCAAAATGCTAAAGAGACCATTGGATAACAAGTTCTCGAATATATTGGCCGTGGATGCCGAAAACTACATGTTGCGAGGAATCAGCCGGCCGGCTACCACCAAGACTGCCGCATCAGCTGAGGGTGCTGCCTCGGATGGGGAAATGAACCATCAAGGGACCACCGGCGCTCTGCAGAGTATCAAGCTCCGCGACAAGGACCCTTTTCGGGGTTGGGGCACCGCCGAAGAGGGCGCCGAATGTTGCGCTCGAATACTCTCTTTCCACAACCTCTTGTGCTCTTGTGAGATGTCTTGTTGTTGTAAATGTGGTACTTTATGTTCTGCAGATTGTCATGCCTGTTTCCACAACTATTGCGTCAGTTTTTATCCAGAATATTTATGCCAGAAAGACGCCGATGCTCTTCCACCAGTTACCCTGGATTACGACAAGGTGAGTTTTTATTATTATTTTCATTTTCGATCGGATAGTGTTAACCGAGGGGTACACAAACGGCTCAAAATTACTCATAATCAACGCAAAATAATAAATTTTACTAATACCTATCAATGAAAATAATCTTTTATTCAACGATCATTATATTTAAAATTTCTTTCTTTTGTGTCAGATTATTAATTAAAACATTCACTTTCGGTATTTTGACCTTAATTCAACCCCTTGACTACATCCTTTGTCTTTCCCCTTTAGCGTATTTTTAATTTACTTAGTGCCTGTATAATTTTATTCGACTGGTACCGGCAGAAACTAAATCTCATTCACGAAATATCCATGCATACAAAATTCTAATGCTTCATGTAAAAAAGCACACACATACACCGAAAATTGAAGGGTAATTTTGGGCTTTGTCGGCCATCTTGGTTCAGTTATTTTTATTTCAAATTTTACAATTTCCATTTTAATCCATCGGCAGCGATCGCTCTCGAATCAATTTATTAATTATAAGCCTTGCGACCGCAAATTGCGCCAGCGAAGTAGTAACGTTTGTTAAATATTCCCACCCTATCGACAGCAGAAAATCTTTTGTTTGCGCTCAGAGGGTGGATGGAAATCGAAAGTTACATGCCTACCTAGGTCGTTCGCTAACAGCTGATGTAAGATTATGTAATTTGTAACCGCTATTTTCGGTGGAATTTTCTACCAGCCCGGCTCTACGGTTCTCCTTTGTTACGAAAAAACTTACTCATTTATTTAATTAACGAAATATTAATAAGTGTTTCGATTTTTGATAAGGATTGTTAGATTGTATGGTACCAATATATCGTTTTATCTCGAGCCTACGTGCAAACAAAAATCAATTAAAAAAATATACATTCGGAATATTTTTTTTAATGGAATCGGCGTTCCAAAGTGCTCTAAAATTGGCTAGCGTTCGAAGGGTTTGTTTAATATATTCACATCCGGAGTAGATGCGTGCCAATTTGAGAATGTTGGGTAAATTAGGGATTACACGGAAATTTTAGGGAAATGAATATCCGAGGAAATGTCGAGCGATTTACGTAACTCGGTTTTACATTAAGGCGAATATGTGGAAAAACAAAAATTAAATGAAATCCTGCAAATCGTTAATAAAAGCCTACAGAGATACATAAAAAATTCGCTAAAATACATGTCTATTTTTACACATTTTGGTCATCCCTCATATTCGCTTTTTATTTATCTCATCGTGACAAAGAAATTAATACCGACAGAGCTTTTCATGTCGAATTGAATGACTTAATCCAACTTCATCCTGGTTAATTAGTTTTTGAGTTACGTTTTCATTTCTATACCTATCATTAGCAATCAATGGTTCTCATGTATTAAAGTCCCTTCTCTATACATGTCTGGATTACGATTAAATTTGTGCATACAATTTATAGTAATGAAATAAACAGTAAACTCCCTCAAAACAACATTAACTAAGCAATCGACAATCCTGGATAGCTTCAATTGAAGCTTCATACGATCCTCCAATATCTGCACAAGAAAATTGAGTATACCTTTCCAATTGAACTATTTTTTACTGCATCTACTCGAGCATATATTTATGCTTCTTTTATCTTTTGCAATTCCACCTTACCTCCAATAACATCCAATACGCGTCTGGTACGAATATTACCTTAACCATTTATGCAATTAGTGTCTTAGAAGTACCATGCATTATCTGAACGGCCGCCTATAGTGCGATTATTTAAAAAAAACCCAATGGGGAAGAGATAAGCAGCGATCGAAAAGCACTTTTTTTGAGTCATTTCTACCCATAAAACGGTATCTGGGAGAACGTAAAGGCTATAAAAGGGCTTAATGATCTGGCTAGCCTAGAAAACCGTGAGGGTTCAGGAGGGGCACAGCCTAAAATTTATTTCCGCAGCGGCTACACGGAGACGATTTTTTTTAACCGGCTTCACAGCATTCTTTCCAGTCAAGGTCGTTTCGTAAGCTACCATATAACATCATATTTTTAATAAAAAAAAACTAATTACTCTTGTTTTTTTTGTACGAATTGATTAGTCCTGTAACAGATTAAAAGGTTATTTCTGTTCATTGTGATATTTGAAAATCCGAGCGTAGGCGACATTTTATAAAATCGTATTGTTCGAAATTGTTACGGCTAGGAATTTCGTATTTCGTATCGAAGAAACAGGCGATTTAACTGTATCTTGTTTTATTTATAAAATGCATTTTCGAATAAGATTTCACCACGTCGTCGTTATCGAATTAAGAACAAACTCTCCGTCAAGTAGGAGCAGATAGAGAAATTTATTTTATTTTCACCGAATTATTATTTCGCCGGTATTAATTGATTAATTAATCGAGCGCACCCTGTATGAAATTTCATATGTCAATTATTAATAGGAAGTATTTATCTTATTCCGCATCAATTAGTTTTTCCTAAGTAACATAATATGCAATTAAAAATAAATAATTTACAAACTTGCCGGTTTACTATTACTATTATATCAGAATTCTGCAGGAAAATGAAAGAAAAAATATTCTGAAATAAAGCGACTCATGAATAATATAAATTATTACATTCTATTATTACACGTGTAAGTATGCAGTGTACTGAATAATTGATTTTATGAATTTTTCAGTACGGTTTCTGTACGAGATGCTTTTTATACTTAATACGCACAGGTTTAAAAAAAAAATAACTTAATTGAGTCGCAAAGTATTTTAAATCTAATTTTCGTTTGGCACGAACACCCCGGTCGATAATATGGGAAGGAAGTTGCCCGAATTGACACCAAGTTTAGCCTCACGAACGCACAAAAACTCGACTTTTAAAAACCAAAATTAAAGTTTCAGCAGCGCCGCTTTTGACATTCGATGGCGGTTTGCATAATATAAATAAAAAATGCGATTTTTGTTTGGAAAAAATAAATTAATTGAAACGCCTTTGATCTGCTTCGACCGTATTACCAGAGCAAATCAAAGCGATCTTGCTTTTTGACACTGTAGAAATGGGTATGTCGGAAAACAAAGGTTTAGCAATCGTGGGTTAGATTTATTTAGACAATTTACTTTTACAAAAAAAATATAATGACCTCGTTTGTACCTGATAGTAGAATAACCGACGCTGTTGCGTGTATAACAAAAAAAAAATAATGGAGCTAAATTAATTTATTACAAAACAGTTAATTCAAAATTTAATTAATCTCTCTTTTCGGTATTCATGCATGGAGAACTGTATCGCACACTCACACAACGTGTATATTCCGAATTTTATCGCACATTGCTCCTTTTGTAAGTATCTATTAATTCACGTTAATATGGAAAACGTTTAAAAAAAAGTTATAAAATTAATCTGAAATTAGAGCAATCCTAATTCGTAATTAACGGCGTAATTGTGTGACGCAATTACCGTTAATTACGCGAAGTGAAAATAGTTGATAGGTCAAAATTTGATGTAAACTTCACTTGTCAGGAATTTGGCAACTTCTCACTTTTCAAAATTATGAGGTTTATTGTTTGTGACAGGCGCTATGCAAAAATGTAATTGCGCCGCTGCCAAGTTTATTTTTCTTCAGTAAAAATAAAGAAAGACCGTGCCGGAAATTTTCTATGAATCCTTACCACATACCTAGATGTATACTTGAAAATTGTATACAAAGTTTACAAAGTAAAATATAACCTTAGCACCTGCCCGGAGTTCTAAATGTGTAATCCTAAATATTCAGCCTGCGTTGTTTGTAAATTTATTCCTATTATAAAGTATTCATATTCCTTTATTGGCCTTATTAAATGATTTTCTATTTATAAAGCTAGTCTCGACTGGGTTGTTTAAATATTAAAGAAGCTCGTAAATGCACTTATTGAATTTTTCAATTTAGCTCATTCAATGCGCGCTATTTTTCTAATTTTTATCCATTCATTTTTACGATGTTCATAGAAAACCAACCAATTTGCATCTTATATTCGTACTGATATTTTTGTGTACTCTCATCAATCCAATCCCATCCAATCCGACCGTAACAGCGGATTCGAATCGAGGATTATACTTATGCATCGGTCGCAAATAACTGCATTCGGTACGCAGATATGCGCTTAACCTAATTCAACAAGGATCAAAGGTAATTTAGGAGTATATCCCATTAAATAATACTGTCCTTGCGGCAATCACGTACTATTTGTGTACATTCAGCGTCCGGAATACATCGCGAAATTATCGACGCCGCTCATAATAGCACGGAATCCAAAAATTGCGAGTATTTTTTGTTTAATTTTTTCCACCGGCAAATCTCCGAAACTACTCGTCGAACACGTTTCCTCACTACAAACATTTGCGCTAATAATTTCGCCGCTTCCAGCGCAACCTGTAGAGGGAAAAACATTATAAACGCAAATCATTTTAATGCAGCCGTTCCAATTTACTCGAATTTTATCAATTACGTAAAAGTCTTCAATATAATACTATATGCAGCGTTTTTTATTGGAGCTGTCATTTGTCACTCGCTAGGTTTCAGTTGTTTTTCGGTTTTGTGGTGATTCGTTTACATAATGGTAATGGATTATTTTTAGTCATTGATTCGACGTCCACCTGGAAACAGCCCTCCCTCTGTGTTGGTAACGATTTTCCCTTTCATATACGCGGATTGCTCGGCGTATCTGTTTTTTTTTTTTTCGTGATTCGTCGATTTTTTTTTATTCGCTTATTTGATGGAGTGTATGTACTGTATGCCTGTTATGTTTATAATTGATTGATAAAAATGATTGTGTTTACAAAAATGGGAAAAAGCTTCTTCAATTCCGACTTAATTAAATTAATTAATATTAATATCGAAACTAAATAAGAGATAATTCTATTGGAAATAATCTAAGATAATTGCAATTAACTTGGAACAAATGTAATAATTTCTAGGATTCATATATAAATAAGTGATAAACTAAATTTAGAATATTTCATTCGAATTTAATTTGTTTAAAAAAATGTTATCCATACAGGTTGTCCC